ACTGTGCCAAAAATAGGTCTTCACTGATATGACCTCTTCTAACAAGAGTTAGTTTACAAGAAATATACTTTCACAGATCCTCACATAGTGTTGAAATTTTATCTCACAGATATTGGTGAAAAAACAATTTTCAGACTGTTCAATGACCAAAGCAAACCCAATAGTATCACTCTCAAACATTCAAAGTCCAATTAATTAAAGACAAAATAAAAGTCAAAGACTGTAAAAAGGAAGAATATTTTTTACAGTAAAGTATATCCAATGCATCAGAAACACATCAAAGCCAGATGGAAAAGGCCATACATTTTGAAAAAAAATCTTGAAAAGCAAGTGATGACTCTCAGGATTCTAGTGTTATTTCATTCGTATTTTATTAAATAAAGATTCACCGATGAAGACAGTGTAAATAGCCACCCTGCCCAGCCTTACAGACCATGAATTGGTGACACACACCTTTATCCCAGTAGCCAGAATAGTTTTCCATATACACCAGGTGGTTTTGGTGCATTAATTTAATCCCATCGCTAGAGAGAAATAAATATATATAGAGAGAAATATAAGATGGAAGAAGAGAACTCTCAGTCCATTTCATTTGGAAGATTCATTGAGGCCAGATTGCCATTTTGCACTGAGGTAGATGTAAGAGCCAGTAGCTGGCTGTTTAATTTTCTGTCCAATGCACTTAGTTTTCCTAGAAATGCAATAAAGGCTATTCCATTTGACATCATTCACAACAGTCACCATGATTTGAGAAAACATCAAGAAAAGCTACTTTGAATGTGAACAAAGAAAAGACATTGAGAGTGAAAACCGATGACAAACTGGCATCATGTCAGGAATATTGATACTGAATCTTCGCAAAAGTTAAAAATGGAGTTTCTATATGTGCTGTTGCCATAAAATGTGCATTTTCCATAGTTCAGTAATAAACAGGATATGAAAGTTACTTTGAAACATCATGAATTTAAATTCTTTATGAGTGTCACCTAAGAGCTACAGCTGTGTCATATGGAAATAGCACATCTCAGCTGTTTCAACCACTACAAGTTTCTAAGAGCCTGTTTCATGATCTGTATTACTTAGCCCACATTAAACACTAATGAATGGCAGTGTTCCTCCTCAGCTCCTCCACAGATTGTATTATTTCTGGTGAGTTCCTATGTGATATTTTCCTTGCATGAAAGAATAATATCTTTCACAAGTTACTAATGCTGAAAAAGGTCAAGAAAAGGGCTCAAGTTGTGTGATATTTGGCAGAATCATCTTCTCTATTCTAGGACCCACGTAGTTAAGGATAAGGCTTAGTTCTTCCAGAACAATCAATTCCTCAGTTGCCCATACTTGTACATGTATACCTAGCTTTTTCCTATCCTCCTGCTCTCACTTTCCCAGAACAAAGTCTACCAAGGCCAGAGCTGGTCAGAACCCCTCATCACCAACCTGCCCATCTTATAACTGATGACACTAGAAAAAATATCCTGTCAATAAATATTGGCTCTTATTCACAGAAGTCAACTGTTCCCTGTCTTTAACATTAAACTCCATTATTCCTGTGAGAATCTCTCTGTTTTCCATAGAACCATAGAAAACTATCAAAGGTAAATATACTACCCATTCTCAATACATTTATTTTTCACTTTAGGGGGTAAAAAATTTCACATGCTTAAATGACAGAGTTTTACCATCATCTCTAGCAAAGGACATTTTTTCAGTGACGTTTGTTTCTGAGATCGTCTTCACACTCTTAAAAATGAACCATCAAGAACATTGATATGCACAGCACAGAAAAGTGTTCCACATGGATGAAGGATCGTCTAAATTTACATCCATATGTCCTTTCCTGATTTATCTCATCCTAATATTCTTCAGAATTCTACCAATCCCATGCAAAAACTGCACAATTACAAAAGCCTGATGATGGTCTCAGATGTGAATGGCAGCTAATTGTTTTTACTGTTTTGCACCTCTCTTGTTAGTGTGTTGTTTTCATTGGTTAATGAATAAAGAAACTGCCTTGGACTAGTTGATAGGGCAGAACTCAGGTAGGCAGAGAAGAAAGAACTGAATTCTGGGAGGAAGAAAGCAGAGAGAGATCTGCCATGGAGCCAACAGAGTCAGATATGCTAAATCTTTCCCAGTAAACCACTGCTCATGGTGATATAGAGATTGATAAAAATAGGTTGATTCAAGATGTGAGATTTAGCCAATAAGAGGCTAGAGGAAATGGACCAAGCAGTAATTAAATCCATGCAGTTTCTGTTTTGTTATTTCTGGGCTAAACAAGCTAAGTGGCAGGGAAAAAAAACAAGCAGGCCCTCACCCTAAAACACTCTCATAGTAAAGGGATCACAACACACAATAGAAAAAAATAACGGGATCATAGAACAAATCAACATTAGTATCATTTGAAGTCCTAGATAAACTTAACATCTATGGAGTATTTTGTTCTTTCTCTGTTTTTGTTAAATGTTTTCATTGTGTAACAACCCTAACAATACTTGAACTCTTCTGGAACTCACATTAAATGCATAAAACCTAAAATTCTATTGATGGAGGAAGGTCACTGGCTAATAAAGGAACTGCCCTGGCCCATTTTATTGGTTAGAGGATTGGTGGGAGGAGTAAACAGAACAGAACGCTGGGAGGAAGAGGAAGTGAGGTCAGAGACTCCACCGCTCTGCTCTCGGGAGCAGACGCCTGAGAGAGACGTGATGCCCCGCTCCCGGGATGAAGCTCCGACCCAGGATGGACTAGGCTAGAATCTCCCCGGTAAGCGCACCTTGGGGTGCTACACACAGATGATTAGAAATGGGCTAAATTAATATGTGAGAATTAGCCTAGAAGAGAATGGGCCAAGCAGTCTTTAAATGAATACAGTTTGTGTGTTGTTATTTCGGGGCATAAGCTAGCTGAGCAGGCGGCTGGGGTGTTGGGGACACAGCCCGGCCGCCCTTATTACTTCATTCTATGATTAAAGGTGTGGGACACCACACCTGGTTATCTTCTAATCAATTTTTGAGAATAATTGAAACTATGCTCATGAGGTCTAGTGAAGCTATATTTGGTACTTCACATCTGTATTCCTAACGTGGAGGACATGCGGAAATGTATTTAGCAAGTGACACAATGAGGCCAATTCACAAACAAGATGAAAAACAATGTAAGCTTTAATTTGAAAGCTAAGTCAGGGGATTCCTTGGGAATGAAAAGAACAGGTAGATGATGCTGATGAGCACAACAGTTGATGGAGGAGGGTCATCTTTCTATCTGTTATTTCATTGGTTAATTAATAAAGAAAACTGCTTGGCCTTTAATAGGACAGAAAATTAGGTAGGCTGGGTAAACAGAACAGAATGCTGGGAGAAAGAAGCCGAGTCAGGCAGTCGCCATGATTCTCCCACCCGACACAGACGCAGGTTAAGATCTTTCCTGGTAAGCCACATCTCGTGGTGCTACAGAGATTATTAAATATGGTTAAAGCAAGATGTGAGAATTAGACAATAAGAGGTTAGAACTAATTGGCCAAGCAGTATTTAAAAGAATACAGTTTCCATTTAATTATTTCGGGCATAAGCTCGACAGGCGGCTGGGAACTGGGAGCAACACAGCATGCCGCTCCATCAACAAACAGTGGGTGGTTTTGATCTTTAAAACATCAGCAAAATAGGTTGGAAAATATTAGAGCACTTCCTAACAAAAATGGAAAATGAGATTCTCCATTTTGATCAGTCAAAACAATTATATACCATGGGGACTTTGAAGGTCATATTAGTCTATCTTATTCATGTTTCTAGTCAATCAATAGATCATATCAATGAGTAAGGATACTTTCCGTTGAAAATATTACCCAAACATAAGCTAATATAACTTTCTGAAAGCAACAATTACAAACATTGGAGAGAAGTTGTTTTCCAAATACCACAGCATTCATGGATCATGTGGAAACTTGGTACATAAGGATTGCCTACTCGTACATTTACATGGACTCTCAACTGCCATTAATCTTTCTCTAACACAGAGGGACAAGAAGAAGAACAGATGAAAAATCTTCTAGTGATTTGATACCATAGTTAGTCTAACTTGAACCAGATATGGAGAATTCTGGAACCCCTTTCTGGGTTAAAACAGACTGTCATTCTTGCTTGTACCTGTTAATATGCATCCATGCTTGGTGTTCTAACTCCCTGAAGAAATGAACAAAACTCTCAGTTTCGGATTATATACATCGTTACACATGTTTGTAGCAACATGAATGGAAGTTTCACTTATTAACATATACTATCTATCTTTAGCCTCAATGATAATGAAAATAGAGACAAAACTATACAAGAGTGTATTGGGAGCTCACCAAGGCCAGCTGGACTGGGAATGAAAGAGCATGGGATAAAACCAGACTCTCTGAACATGGCAGACAATGAGGGCTGATGAGAAGCCAAGGACAATGGCACTGGGTTTTGATCATACTGCATGTACTGGCTTTGTGGGTGCCTAGCCAGTTTGGATGCTCACCTTCCTAGACCTGGATGGAGTGGGGAGGACCTTGAACTTTCCACAGGGCAGGGAACCCTGACTGCTCTTCAGACTAGAGAGGGAGGGGGAAAGGAGTAGAGGGAGGGGGAGAGGAGTGAGAGGAGGGGGAGGGAAATGGGAGGCTGGAAGGAGGCAGAAATTTTTTTTTCAATAAAAAAAGAATGTATTGAAGCAAATTCCCCCTCAACCACAATGGTCAAGTTCAGACTGACAGTTATATAAAACTAGAGCTTAAACAATAGCAGAACCTCACTTCTAATATCTGGACTTTGCCTGCATCACTTCAACACCGTTGTCCAAATATCATGTTGTCGCATTTACAACTGAGATACAACCTCCTCCCCATGTATCCTGTCAGGCTAAAGTCCCAAACAAAAGTCAGGCATACAAGATGTCCCATTCTGTCAGGTCAGGTCACCAGTAAGGACCTGAAAGGTGCCTTTGTTCTGCCTTCCTTATAAAAACTCTGGTTTTTCTTCTCTCAGAACAGACTGGGAAGGAACTCCAGATCCTCCTCCAAGATGTTGGTGGTCCTTCTCACAGCAGCCTTGTTGGCCCTGAGCTCAGTTCAGAGAGCAAATGCAGGTAATGAAGAGGAATTGAGAATGGTAGAATGAAATGGGAGTTGGTCAACAGATGGAGTTCAGGCCTGTGAAAAACATAAAAAGACGAATAAGAAACTGAGGAAAGGTATAGGAGAACAAACATTCAAATGTTCATATTATCATTTTGCACTAGACCTTAGATTTTGCTTATAGCATAATTTAAGAAATGATTCTTACAGCAACATTGCATGAGTGCATTTGTGAAAAGATCTTTATGGTGGGGGATGATGAATGGGAGCATGATCAGTTGACAGATTGAAGACAGTTTTCAAGGTGTTATGATAAGTCAATTGTTAAAATGCTGGCTTTGCTGTACAGAAGATAGAAAAATGAAAGAAGTAGATATATAAAAGGGGTGTTTTAAGAAAAGGAATAATATGTCAAGTTTAAAACATACACAATGAGCTAGAAATACTAGGGAATAATTTTTTAATAGTTTTTTTTTGCATTTGTGTGCATACACAACTGTCTGTGTATATGTGAATATGTATGATGTGTGAGAGTAGGAGAGAGGCACAAACACACAGAGACCATACTCACATACATACAAACAAACACACATGCACAGAGAGAGAGAGAGAGAGAGAGAGAGAGAGAGAGAGAGAGAAAGTTTGCACACTTCTACATATTTCAATCAGAGGACAACATACTATCACCAAGACTTTTATTTCTGCAATGTGATTCGAATAACTTTAATTAAAATCATCAGGTAAGCACTTTTACCCACTGAGATAAATTGATGAACGTACTAATGTATTTTAATGAACAATATATACTGCTCTATGGACTATACATAGTATTTAAAACAATGTTTACTTTTATTTCCATTCTTGAAATGCCTGGGGATATACCATTTAAGTAATTAAGATCATGAAGAAAAACAAAAAGAATGTAAACATATCATACTGAAATTCCCAATTAAAATGAAGAATATCTGTATGTCTCGGCAGGATTAACAAGAGCAAAATACTGGTTGCTACTGATCACAGAAACCATTCGGGCAGCAGTACCACCAACATTGCCCAAGAATAAAATTCTATTTATTGGGCAAGTAGATGTAGTTGAAAGCTACCTTTATTGTGCAGCAGGAAAATGTTATAAGTAACTTTCACTTATTTTGTGCTTATTTTCTAGCGATCATCTATGAAGCCTCTTCTTCTGAGCTCTTAGGTAAAGCCTGATCTATCCTCTATTGAACTTCTATGCACCCTTTACTTTTGTAATTATTTAGTTCTGAAATATCTCATAGATTTGTTGGTTAATGAAACTAACATGTGACACTTTCCCCTTAGATATGTAGGAAAACTTCCCCACATTGTGTCTAGAACCAAGAGAAGGAAATGCACTGGAAGAGTACAAAGCCAGAGTTTTATACTAAAAACACTTAGTATCTTCCACAGATTGAAACAATGGCTTGTATGTGTTGAGCTATAATCACCCATGGCTCGATGGGTTGCTCAAAGAAAACTCTCTCATCTGAATTTCTAAGAAGAAATATATGCTTGCACACTACATACAAAGTTTTAGAGATCCTAGGCTCCCTCATTTTTTAAAACAGTTTTTTCACACTTACCTCTGTATCCACAGCTGAGTAATAATACTCCATGAAAAGTGAAAGGAACAGCTTCTAATCTCTTTCAAACATGTCTTTCTTGTTCTACACATGGTTATAGAACCCTGAACACCATGATATATTTAAGAATAGGGCATTGCTTCTACAAGATGCTACTATGCCTAGTTCTAGGTAATATCATTGAAATGTCCTTCCCGTTTCATCATTTTGGTGTGAAAAATGAAAGAAACAGAAAATCACCTTAGTACACCAAATTTAGGAACAAATATTTGTCCAAAAAGTTGAAACATAAAAAAGTTTTGTGCATGTTTAAAAATTACCTTTCAAGAAGAACCAGTGACATAAATTTAGAAGGGGTGTTCTTGGAGCAAGAGAAATGTAATCTCCATCTAGATTGATTTATTCCCATATAGAAGAGGAGCAGCAAAATCAGAGCAATGGTCAACAGCTTCAGAAACCCCCTTCTGGACAGTTGCCCCCAAAACCTTCTGCTTCTGCTGATGATAATGAAGATGGTGATGATGATGGTGAGGGCAGTGACGAAGATGGAAATAATCCAGAGGGACCACCACAGGGACCACCACAGCATCCTCGCCCTCCTAAACCTGGAAACCAACAAGGCCCACCCCAGCAGGGAGGTCCACAGCCAAATCGCCCTCCTAAACCTGGAAACCAGCAAGGCCCAGAACAGCAGGGAGGCCAGCAACAAAATGGCTCTCCTCAACAAGGAAACCAACAAGGCCCACAACAGCAGGGAGGCCCACAGCAAAATCGCCCTCCTAGACCTGGAAACCAACAAGGCCCACAACAACAGGGAGGCCAGCAACAAAATGGCTCTCCTCAACAAGGAAACAAACAAGGCCCACAACAGCAGGGAGGCCCACAGCAAAATCGCCCTCCTCGGCCTGGAAACCAACAAGGCCCACAACAGCAGGGAGGCCCACAACAGCAGGGAGGCCCACAGCAAAATCGCCCTCCTCGACCTGGAAACCAACAAGGCCCACAACAGCAGGGAGGCCCACAGCAAAATCGCCCTCCTCGACCTGGAAACCAACAAGGCCCACAACAACAGGGAGGCCCACAACAGCAGGGAGGCCCACAGCAAAATCGCCCTCCTCGACCTGGAAACCAACAAGGACCACCCCAGCAGGGAGGTCAGCAGCAAAATCGCCCTCCTAAACCTGGAAACCAACAAGGCCCACCTGAGCAAGAAAGCGAGGAACAGGCAAGTAACCTGTAGAAATTTTCTCCACAGAGCCACAAGGTTCCTCAACAGGTCAGAGGTAATAAGTTACTTTTTCCTTTACACAGGTCACAAACTTTAGAGGTCACCAATGTCTACCTATGGGGATGGAGTTCTTATACATCTAAAATTTAAATGTCCTCTGTAACTTAGTGGATTTTGATAGAGGTGATTTAAATTCAATTTCCATAAAGTGTCTTATGTCTAACAGAGTTAGATATCCAAAAAAAGTAGAGATATGTCAGGAAATGTTGGTTGCATGATAAGACTTGCTTCTCCGTGACTTTATTTATTTATATATTTATTTATTTATTTATTGCAGGAAAAATAGATGACAGATTCCCGTAATGGTATTTTAATGGAACAATGATGTGGCAAGTGAACCCTCAAACACTCTAATAAAATATTTAGCATGCAATTTCTCTTTCTTGTTTCTTATTCGGAGCATGAGTGAAATCTGGGGTCTGGGACCACACTGAAGACAATTATAAATCCTTTCATACAGCAACATCCATAAAGGGGCCCACTTTCTCCCTTTACAAATCACCCAACTATCATTTGATTGTCCGGATAGTTTCATCATACTTGGAGTTATGTCTATAGCTTTTCTGTATTTCCCAGATACCTCTGACGTTAGCGGGAGACTTCACATATGACATAGTTTTCAAAATTAAAATACATAGATGGATAAAACTACATAAACATGCTATTGGTTTGTCACATGCATTGTTTGACCAGTACCCTATAGAATAGCTGCCTAGGAGTACCTGTAAAGAGGTCATTTCCCTTTTCTCACATGTAGCACACTCCCAATTCACAATTCACTTGAAAGGAAGTTGCTGATTCTGCAGCTGGTGTTCTTTTCAGCATTCAAGTGTCAATAAGCTCAATTTCTTTCTCTGACTTTGATGGTCCTATATATGCAATAGTGTCTTAGGGAACAGATGATCTTTGTTTTCATCTACCTTGATATTTATAAATATCATATACTTGGACTGCCATGCCAGCTCAGCAACTGTAGTTCTTCTGAGCGAGGGAGGTTGGTATTAACACACAACACAACTTTATATTCTGCAGGCAAGCCTATATTCCACTTTCTCACACAGTATATATAGCCCTCAGCAGGGGAGACTGAGTCAGCCAAAGCAGGAAGCTCACCACCATTAGTCACATGGCTTAGGGGTAAACATCCTTAGAAACATTGCTGAAAACAACAGATTGTTCCTGTTTTCAAACAACCACAAGAGTGCAAAACATCAAGTGGGGATGCAAAGACCTGTCTTCAAGGGACCCAACACTGGACATTATCAGCAAATGATATTTTTAAACATTTTATGTATACCTAAGAGCAATCTTTCATTCTTATTTTTGGAGAGTTTCTAACTGACCTTTCATTGCTTTTTCAATCTTGTTGTGTTTTAATTAATAAGTGAAAATATAAAATGCATATATGTTCTACAAGCAGAAGAATCTTTAAAACTTCCAAAATATTTGATCCTTAGATCTTTGAAACTGAACTTGCTGTTCTTTAATGCTTTTGTCAAATTGTTATTACATTCCTTAAATCACATACTTATTTCCCTCCATCCCCACAATTTTTTATGAAAACTAGACTGACTTTCATAGACTACCACAGTGTTAGATTCTCACATGTGACAAATTTTGGTCATTCTGAAAATTTGACACTTAACCTTCTGTTTATGTAATTCTTTGAATGGCCATGAGTATACCATGGCAGTGCAAAATGAAGGTATGATAAGATGTGTTACCATTTATATGCCTATTCATAGACACATGCTAATTACATTTATCTACAATATGAGTACAGCTGCATATCATAGTGAAACCACTCATTTTCATGATTGTCAGTATTCTAAAATGATTCTTCGAATATCCTTCTGCTCTAGAGTAGTCCTATGACTATTCATTAATGTGCTTTGAAGATTGAACCAACATTGTTGTTGAAGGAGCTTTGGGCTGCGTTCCTGTGGCTCGGCTCCCGACTGCCAGCTAGCTTATACCCCGAAATAACAACACACAAACTGTATTCATTTAAACACTGCCTGGCCCATTATATCTAGCCTCTTCTGGCTAACTCTCATATCTTGCTTTAATCCATTTCTAATAATCTGTGTAGCACCAGTCTTACCAGGAAAGATTCAGCATGTCTGGCCTGGCGGCTTGCTTCATTACGTCTGCCCTGGAGAGCAGCAGCCTTACATCTGAACTCACTTCCCTTCTTCTTCCAGGCATTCTGTTCTGTTTACTCCACCCACCTATGTTCTAACCTATCAGGGCCAAGCAGTTTCTTTATTAATAAACCAATGACCTTTCTCCATCATTTCCCCTTTTTCTATTTAAACAAAAAAAAAGGGAAGGCATTAACTTTAACATAGAAAAATTACATATAACAAAACAGTTATCAAGTAAAAATAACAATATTTACATCTATTTTATCTTTTATCATAACCAAGGAAAACTATAACTATCCATTCTTCAACTCCATCAAAGACTCCAGAAGGATATAATATTACCTAAGTAAACAAGAAATTAGAAACTTCAAACTCTAGAAATGACAGAGACATGTCCCTGCTTGGACAGTCACCCAAAGTTCTTTTATACCGTTGGGGCATCCATCCTCAGCCTATAGGCCCATAGTATCCAGCAGACTCTTCCATGAAGCAGGAAATTTCAAAGACAGTTCAGTCACTATCTGCTGTGTCTCGTGAATTCTTTTATGAAGCAGGAACCCCGATAGACCATCTCAACTTTAGGCAAGTTCAGTAGTCCTCTCTCTGTGGGTTCTCTGTGTCCAGTTTATGCAATAGTCCAGGCAAGAACAGTTTCTTGCCCAAATGGCTACCAAACTCCATAAGGATCCTCTTCAATGTCCATCTTCTTCCTGAAGTAGATTGGTGTTTCCAGGAAAAGAAATGTCTCATTGTCATAAAAACCCTACGTTATTAAAACATTAAATAGCATATTCTGCAGTATTTGAAAGATATGAAGAATGACGATCTAACTGAAATATATCTCTATATATCTAGAAAATCTAACTACCATGACTACAAACTTGACTATTATTAATGATTATCCATTAACAACCTATATACATTACATTTTTCAATGAACTACACAATCACAATACCTTAATCAAGATCAGAAACACATATACATATAACAAAATTGACCTTATTTAAATCACTAAAGCAAAATCCATATCAATGCAAATTAATCATACCTATATCATATCCCCCTTTAAAGGTAAAAGAACATTTATAAGCAATATTTGGGAATATAGGTGCAGTTTTCTCTCTCCAAACTACTTCCTACTGTATGGGGGCACTGTTATTCATGATACAACCTGTTCATCTCAGTCAGCAGTTGAGTGAAGTGATTTTTTTGAAGGTGTTCACAGCAACCTTTCAGGAGGGCATGGTCTATCATAGCATATTGGGATAGAAACAATCCACAGGGTCTCATCCTCTGTGAAAACAAAAGAAGAATCTCTTTTCCAAAGTATTATATCCTTCAAACCAAATTCTGAAGTCAAGGTAATTTCAAAATATCTATCTTCTATTAGTTCAGAAGCATTCATAAGTAAATATCTTTTAGCAGATGTTGCTCCGCCCGCACCATAAAAACAATTCAAAGAGAGCATAATAGCATACAGTATCAAGATTCTCTATGTATTTTCCATCTTTGTGTGGCTTTATTTTAACCTCTATTTCTTTTACTTTTACTTTTTTTTGAGACAAGTTCTCTGTATATCTTTGTCTTGGAATAACTCTGTAGACCAGGCTGTCCTTAAACTCTCAGAGATCCTTCTGTCTCTGCCTCCCAGGCATTCGGATTAAAGGCATGTGCTACCACACCTTGAAGTCAGAGTTCAACTCTGAGGTCAATCTACCTCTGCCTCCCAAGTATTGGGATTAAAGGTGTGTACCACCATGCCCAACTACTCTCTTCTTTTTATTTTACTTTTAAAAACTTTAACTTTTAGCCTGCATATATTTTTAACACTGTAAACCATTAAGATGTTTTCTTCAACTTTGAATATTTTTTTTACTGTATGTCTCTTTTTTGACCACATGAGTCTTTAATTTACCAATCAATATCGGTAAGACTAAAGCTGTGGCTTTGCCCGCTGGATCCAGCCCATTCCTTCGTTTTCCAGCCTCGTGGTGGAGGTACCACTGGAGCCATTCTTATTGCCACAACTCTATGGCATTTCAAGGTCCTTGTCAGCAAACAAGCTACAACACTGAAATGCTCTCTCTGTAGCTGACCTCCTGCCTCAAAGAGTCAGAGTTTGCCATGGCAGGATGGCCCACAAAGCTGGCATTTTAAAGCAACTCAGCTTTTTTCATGCTACTGCTGAAAACAAACAAGCATTCCGTAGGCTTTTATCAACACCATTTAAGTGTTTTGTGACAGGACCTCTTAAGAGCTGCAGGGTTTTGCAGCTAAAGCTGAGTCAGGAAGCCTCTCTTAGATGAGAGCACTTGCTTGCCTCTGGCAAGCAGAGCAGACCCAAGAAATTGCTGCTACCAAGAAAACATGCTTTATTCTATTCTTTCCCAAGTTTTCTCAGGCTTTTTGTGGACTGAGTTACCCACGTCTGGGCTCCATTCTATTTTTACCTTCATATCTTTATCAATATCCTTTTATGTATCTGTCCAACTATGCTATCTGCTGGATTATTGCTAGTAGACAGAAGCTCCTTAAATAACCAAATACTTCATCCATGGCAACATGTAGCCTTAAAATATAATTTTAAGGCTGACTTCAAACTCTGAAGTAGAGTACTTATTGACATACTTGAGGCCTAGACTCACTCTCCAGCACATAAATAAATACTTTATTTTGCCTGCCACATTTACTTAAAATTCAAAGAAACTATGTATGTTTTCAGAGTTAATCCAACGTGATTTTGTGGTTTTTAGATCAAGTCAGCATCCACTGTTCTGTGAAGTTCATTTAAGTGTAAATATCAGTCAGTTTATGCTTGCCAAATTCTTGCTGTGATCTACTTGACAGAAAGCAACATAAGCAGGGACAGGCTGTGTCATGTGACTCTTTAGTAATGCACAGTTTGATAAAATAAAGTCAGCATTCATTCGCTCTAACACTTAACAATATTTATTTATTTATTTTTATTATTATATTTTTCCATTCAGCAATATACTTCCTCTCATCCAACCATTCCTCTCCTGCCCTCCAAGTCACTCTCCTCCTTCCCCTCCCTCTTTAAGAGAGGGCAGGGAACCCTGCCCTGTGGGGAGTTCAAGGGCCCCCTCTACATCCAGGCCTAGGAAGCTTTGCATTCAAATAGACTAGGGTCCCAAAAAGCCAATACATGTAATAGAACCAAGTCCCAGTGCCTTTATCAATGGCTTCTCAGTCAGCCCCCATTGT